ATATTATAGAAAGTTTGGGTAGAGATAGTTTTAAGGGTTGGCTTTTTCCCTATCTGAAGACTTAAAGGAGTTCCTCCAGTCGACAAAGTAACAGTGTTATCTAACTCAATGTTTTTAAATTGTTGAATTTCTTTCAGAGATTTGCTAAGTACTTGCTCAACTGTTTTTAAACCTGAAAATTTGTAAATATGTTTTAGGATTATGTAAAAATTTAGTTTAAAAAAACTACAATTAAGCTCTTACCTGTTGACATTAGCAGTGTTTTTAGGTTCTGTACAATGTCTCTCTTATTACAGGGATGTTGAATTCCAGATCCAATTCTTTGATAACAAGTACAACAAATTTTATCTATGACCTCCTTTGGTACTTCAGGGTCATTAATGTACATGTTTAATACATCCTAAATAAATAAAAAACTATACTTATTTAAAATATAGTTAATTAAACTATAATAAAAGTTATAATTTTATAAATGTTTTTAACGTAAATAATTGAGCTACATATATGAGTTCTTTATAAATTATCTGAAGGTTTATAGATTTGGATTTATCTCTTGACATGATACAGAGCAGGCAATCACATGTTGACACTGTCTCACCTATATTTATATATATAAACAAATGTTTATTCATATTATTTATAGCTTTTATTATATGCATAAGTAAGTATAAGTAAAAGTATTACCTTTAAATCTCGGAAGTAACTTTATTCTCTCTGATGTGAGCAACCACCTCTCCAAAGTAACTAGTGATAAAGTTTCTCCTTTTTTAGCTGAGTACAAATAAATCTTGCAGGTTGGACATAATCCAATAGGGTTGGAAAGAAGTGTCATATTATAGTTAGTGTTGGCATACAGTTGAATCAAGATTAGTAAAGGATTTCCAGTTACCAGTTCAATGCATTTTAAATTCTTATCACCACAGCAAACACAAATAAGTTTTCTTGAAGAGAAATGATCCCTTGGTTTGTTTGGCATGTTAACTATGTTAATTATGCTAGTTTTAATGCAAATAAATTATAAATATGTTAGATTTTTAACTAAAGCATATAAATACATACATATTAAATATAGTAACACTTTGACTAGTTTTACTTTAAATGGTTATTCTTTTGAACGCCAAGATATTTTTTATTGAATTTTTGAATATGTAACTGATGCTTGATTTTTCTAAAGATGATATAATTATTTTTTTTAAATAAAAAAAGGGGGGCAAGGGGAGGGGGAAAAAGTTGCCCAGATCCCCTTTAAAAATTGATTTTCTCATCAGGACGTACACCAAATAATTTGTTCTTTTCATAATATTGTCTGTATAATAGTCCTGAACACTTTGTAATAAAATTTTTTTAAGTAATCAAATTTTTAACCTAAACGACCTAGAATTGACTAGTGAAATATAATAACATAATATATAAGATATGATACAAAAATGATACAAAGATATAATACAAAAACAATTTACAAATATAAAATATCTAAAAATACATCTACAATTAGCATTTTGTAGAATTGTAACCTACAAAATATTAATTGTAGATGTATGTAATCCCACCCCTCCCTCCCCCTCTTCTTCTACGACGACCACCACTACCCCCCCTTCCCAATGGAAGAAGGGATAGGGGTAGTCGCGGCTGTTGTTTCGGACCCACACCCCATGAGCCCTATGGGATGTGGGTTCATTGTGTTCTCTCCGGTATACTAAAAAAGTCTGGTATGACAAATCTGAAATGAAAATAAATAACGAAATAACAATTTTATAACAGCAATATATGTAAGTGTAAAGATAACACAAATACAATAATGTGCGAAATTGCAAACCACTTACCATTAACTGTAGCAGCAGTAGTCAAGGAAGTGGTTGTCGAGGAAGTGATTGTCGAGGAAGTTGTCAAGGAAGTGGTTGTCAAGGAAGTGGTTTCTAATAAATAAGATAAATTTTTAATAAATAAGATGCAGTTGAAGTGGTTTCCAATGAAAAATCCTTAATTAATACAAATAATATACAAATTTATTAATAGTGATAATAATCATATCTACTTTTACCAAGTGTTGTTGCTGCTATTCTCACTATAAATAAAAAAATAACTAATGAACAATTCAACTATTTAATGAAATTAGTTATACTTACTAAATTAATAGTATAATAACTTAAGAATAATTAAATCATTTTAACTATATTTTCTTTCGCGCTTCATCGTTTGCATAACGATTTACTAAAGTAAAAAAAAAAATATATTTTGTAAAAAAATTTAATAATTCTATGTAAGAACATTAAATATATTAAAATCAGATTTTAACCTAAATCTGCAATTAAAATTAATTGCACTAAAATCAGATAATATACATTACTTCATCGTGATTAACCTGTTCATTTATCAAAACATTGGCACAATCATGCCCTTTGTATATATATTTGTACAAATATTTAACAGCCTTAACGGACATGCAAGCTTCAACATTAATGTGGGTTTGATATTTCTTAGATAACCAAGGATTGTAAGGTACCACCCAACGGTTATCTACATTGTTGCCTTTAATACTGATAACCAACCCATCATCAAAACGCCTATATCGTGGATAACCATTGTGAAAGGCTACTGCGTTGGCACTAAATTCTTTAGAATAATTTTTGCTGCAAACCCCATCTTTCATGCAGGGAGAATTAGGATTCAGTATCCCACATGGGCCGTGAATCGTGCAAGTTTTAATAATATCATAAAGTTCACGATTAACAATCGGATCTGGAATTTCTGCACATATTAAATTATTGATATCCTGTGCTGTTTCAAGTTTATCATCATTGGCTAAATGAAGTAAAATGTGGGCATGCGGCAAACCACGCTTTTGAAACTCAATAACCTGAACATGCGTTACAACTTTGCCCAATACACCATGTTTGAATATATCATTGAGGAGGTTATTTAACTTGAGTTTAAATACTTGAGTGACCAAATCAGGTTTATCATTCGCAGTCTGACCCGGATATAAATTTTCTGTTAATTCACTCCATTTTGGGTTGCAAGTAAAAGTAATAAAAAGATCTGGTTTACCATACTTTTTAATAATTGCAATAGCATCTTCAAAGTTTTCTCTTAAAGCTCTAGGACTCCCTACATAAGATGATGGCAAAACTACTACTCGGCCTGGTCGAATATTACGATCGTTTGCAATGTTGTTAACATGTTCATGTAAGGCATCATACTGCTCGCTTCTAAGTTTGTTTTGGTTATTTCTAATAAAAGCAAGACGCTGGCCTTCAATTTTGACATATGCATCAACAGCATATTGCTGAAACAATTTCTTGCCATAAAATAATGAACAGAAAAATTGCCAAACAGAAAGTCTATAATTGTAGAACTGAGATAATGTAACATGATTTCTAATCAGTGTGGCACGCTCAGGGTTATGCACCAACTGATTATGCCAACCAGCATCACCTCTTGGGAAAAATAGAGGATAAACCATAGGATCCAAGCTGGCTGACATACTTGATACAATTTTTAAAGGACGACCTCTTGGGTAAATAATAACTTCCCTCGAGGTTGGGGGAGCACCATCTTCACCAACAAACACAACAGCAACTTCATCATGCGAAGGTAGACTATAGCGACGTCTATCACCCGCTTCAAGTAAAGATATTTTTACAACAGAAGCTGAGCAACCTTCTAGAGCTGCTTGACGAATTTCTTCATCTTCTACTTCAGCCATGTTTTTAAATGCAAGAGCAAATGGACTTGCATTCTAAAATTTACTGCTGCAAGTGGATCATAAATATATAGTTGAGAGAATTTTGGTGGAATATCTTGATCTGGCCTAAGATTACCTACACGATGATAAATCTGGCCACATATTTTAAGACATGGAGGCCCATGATTCATTGGTTGAACTACATCTGCTTTAAAAGAAGCAAAAGAAAGACAGGCATTATAATTTCGAATATGTTTTAAAAAATTGTCATTAACATTACGACCTACATAACTCCCTGTAAATAAATCCTGTAAAGCTTGTGTAAACGGTGAAAGTGGAGGCAAAGCTACCTTACCATTATGGCAACATAGAAAATGTGTTTCATTTAAAAATTTCTTAGCACCACAGTGCTGACAAATTTGATTCATTTCTCCTAAATAATTACAATCTGGAATAGCGTTACTTCTAGCTATAGAATACATTCTTCCAGGTCTAGCAGCATTTCTTTTATTTCGTCGGCGATTAACTATATCACGATTAAACCTATTTCTTTCATTTTGGAGACAATTAACCACATCACGATTAAGCCTATTTCTTTCATTTCGACGATGATTATTTTCAACTCGTCTAACCAACCTTTCCAGATTTGGGTTTAAATTCTCTTCAGCTCGTATAACAGCTCTTCTTACATTTTGCTGACGATTAACTTCATCTCGCCTAAGTCTGTTTCTTTCATTTCGTTGATGATTATTTTCAGCACGTCTTAGAGCATTTACATCATTTTGTAAATGTAAAACTTCATCTTGTCTAACCACCCTTTCAGTGTCAAAGTTTTCATTAAACATATTATTAAAATTCATCCAAACTCTTATCTCTTTTTGTACTACTCTAAATTGCATAATAAAGTAAAATAATTTATGTAATCTAAAATTTTAAATAAACTACAAATATATATCTTGCTTAAAATTAAAAGAAAAATTATCAAAACAATTATAAACATTTCCCCTTGTAGTAGCTACAACAATATATCTATAAAGAGATCAAATATAAAATAAAAAACATATTGATAAACAGATCTAATAAATAAAAAATCTAGTGTAAAATACTTAGGATTAAGTTCTCTCTCTCGCTACATATATATTTTATATTATATATATTCCATTTTTTAATTTTATTCAAAGCATGAAAACGAACTTAAAACTTCTTTTGTTTTTAATTAATAAATTTTTACTGAACTATTTATAATAGCAAAAAAAAGGAATAAATGTGAAAACAAAATCAAATGCAGTTTCAAATTTTATATATATATATGATATAAACCTCTACAATTTTTATCTGTTCAACAACTGAATTATGATTAATCACAACTCTGGAAACATAAATTTTCTTTTAATTTAAGTCTAAATAAATAAACAAAGTATAAATAGAAATGGTAGGAAATGCTTACTGCTAGTATTTTAAGCATCTAAATAACAAAATAAAAAATAAAAATGTAAGCAAATGTTTGCTGCAAATATTAAGAGATAAATAAACAAACGTACAATATCAAATTTATATTTATGAACAAAATTCATTTATATCCAGTAAGTTATATTAAATAAAATATTTATTGAAAAGCCATAAAAGTTTGCGTGAAACCACAGTCAATAAATAAAACATATATTAAACAAAAATAAAAAATAGTTAGGGCATCAACACACAACAAATCTAATACAAACGTTTAAAAAGATAATAAAGCTCCTTATCAAATTTAAAAGCTTACCTCGTGTAATTTCAAAAGTAGATTGGAAACTGTTTGCGTTAGAGTATTTTACAGAATACAGAACTAATATCGAACAATAGTAACTAACGGCATTCAACATTAATAACTGGACTATTCATATTTAGATTACGGAAAAAAAATTGAACCGTAACTGAGCAACGCCCAATATTGAACAATGAAATTAGTATCGGCAAAATAATGAGTCGTTGCCCACAATTTCATAATGAGAGTATAATACAGTAGTTTATATATATATATATATATATATATATATATATATATATATATATATATATATATATATATATATATATATATATATATATATATATATATATATATATATATATATATATATATATAATATATATACATATATATATCTCTATATATATATATATATATATATATATATATATATATATATATATATATATATATATATATATATATATATATATATATATATATATATATATAATATATATATATATATATATATATATATATATATATATATATATATATATATATATATATATATATATATATATATAT